GGGGGTCTGAGACCGCCTCTTGCCTCCTGACACTGAGCCACTCAGGTTCAGGGGCTGACGGGCCCAAGGGTCTCTTGGCGTGGCCCTCCATCACAGGCTAGGGGCATGTGGCCCAGACTTGCAGCTTCTGGGTGGGGGGAGTTGCCACACATCACAGCATTTGGTGATGAAGACAGCAGCTCTGTTTCCTCTGGCCTGGGGGCCAGGACAGGACCAGCCACTTCCCCTGAAGACCATGGGTCTCAATACTCAGGCGCCCATGTGCCAGGCACTGTACCAGCCTGGGTGCTCGCCAAGAGTGCCCACAGGCTCCAGGAATAGAGTGGGGAGGAATGGAGCGGACACATCCCGGGGGTTGAATGGTGCCCAAGGCCCTGCCCCCAGCCTCCCAGCAGGGCCCTGCTGAGGGACCGTCCCTGGGCAGGGAGGCCCTGCTCGCTCACACCCTGGCCCATCAAGTGGGTTGGATTCAGGGAAAGGGACGCTCTGCCCATTCTCCCATGCTTTGCCTGTTTCCTTTCCGCATCTATACTGTGGGCCTTCTAAGAGCATGCTCCCAGCATGGCATGGTCTGGGCGCCCAACGACCCGGGTTCAAACCGCAGAAGCCGCATGTGTGAGTGGGGCGTGTACTTACTTCTCCCATCTGTAAAATGGAGCAGTGCCACCCATGCCACTGTCGGGAGCATTCAAGCGCGGGGACCCCGGGAAGTGCTCAGTATCCATGAAGACGGAGGTACTAGGGGAGTGCTGGGGAGGAGACCCCTGGGCATGGGCCTGAAGCGGCCTTTATCCAGGGCAGGTGTTGGGAGACAAGGACATCACCCTGAGACCCAGCTGCGGACAGGGATGTGCTGACAGAGGGACCGAACATAGTGGGCGGAGGGCCTGGGGACCCCCATCAGGGCAGCCAGAAGGCGGGGATCACTAGGTCAGCCTCAGCGGTCCCTCAGGCCCAGTGCTATAGGGTCTCCAATTCTAACGTCCTGCGGTTTAGCTTCGTTAAACGAGAATGATGCGAGGCTGTTGTTTTGAACTGAGTTCCTGCACTAGGCCCCAACAGACCGGACCAAGCCAAAATGGAGTCACTCATGCTAAATGCCACATCAAACGGAAGCTTTAAGGAAGCAGATAGATCCCAAAACAACAGGCCAGTTTCACTGGAGCCAGCCTCATCAGGAAGTCCCCTCTGCCTTAGCCCTTAGAAAAGAGCAGTCTGCCATGACCTGGTGTTGGGTGGTTGGGTGTTCCCTGTTTTTCTGTTTCCTCCTTCCTGCCTTACGAAACCCCTGTTCTGCCATTGCCCGGTGGGAGCTCTCATTCAATTTTGTAGAACGGAGGCAGCTGGGATTCGTGAATCATGAATAAAAGCCATTTCGATCTAGAACTAAATGTGTTGTCATTTTGTCTTTTGATGGCCTTAAGCTGGATTTTCATGAGGTCTCGCAAAGCTCAGCAGCCCCTCCCTTCCATGGGGTCCCTGGGGAACCAGGGACCAGCACAACCGCTCACTTGTGGCTTAGGCCAACCCAGCCCCAGGCCACAAAGAGGCTGAGTAGCCTCGGCTCCGGATGGGGCACAGTTCCTGGGATGAGAAGCGCCTCCTGCAGGTGGGGCGGGGCAGGCTGGCCTCTCCTTCCTTGGGCCCTGGCAGTCTATTGCTAAGAACGACTCTTTTCCAGAGTCATCCATGGCCGCATCCCTGCATCAGCACTGGGCGTGCGTGCGGGTGCCCAGGAAACAGCTGGTGCTGGAAAGGATACTTGAACCCCTGCAGGGAAGGGGCGCACATTCCTTCCTGGGGCAGCCAGGCCCAGAGCTGGTCCCTTGGTTCCCTTGGAGGGTGTCCGAGAATCCCAGGAAGAGGAGACCACGGCAGCCCAGCACAGACAACAGAAGGGTGCCTACTGGCCAGTGGGGTGCCCGGGACCCGCTGCCACTCCCCAGCCCTGCCTCTCCTCTTTCCGGTTTCTCCCCCAGCCGGCAGGCTGACGAGCGCAGCCGGGACACCGCGGGGACACCGCGGCGCCTGAGCGCAGCTGCCCGTGGCTAGGCCAGCCTGGGCTACTGCAACCCGGAGCTGCTGAGCTGGACTCCGCCCCGGCTGCTGGCCCCCACCGCCCCAGCCTCCCCGGGAGACCATACCTGAGGCTCTGCCAAGCTGCCCTTCCTCCCGGCTGTCCTGCTCTGCCTGGCGGCCCTGCCCTTAAGAAATGTCCAAGGGCCGGCCCCTGGGGCGGAGCTGCCCTGGCCTCGTGCCTGACTCTGACTCTGGCTCTGGGCGGGCTGGAGGCTGCAAGCCGAGATTTCACCACCGCCTCCTCAGGGGCCTCGATATCCCCTCCCAGACCACAGAGAAGGAACCAACACCCAGAGGGCAGCAGGCTAGAGCCACACAGCAGGGCTGAGCTCTGAGCTGAGGGGTCAGCCTGAGGAGGACAGCCTAGGGCAGTGACCCTGAGAATCCCAGTGTGAGGTGGGAATTATTATTATTTTTTAAATGTCATGTGGAACGTTATATTATGTGGCCCAGAATAGCAAGGAAGTCTATCTTCCACTCCCTGCCTTCCCTTGATGACTCCCTTACCCAAGACTCAGTTTCCCCTTCTGCAAAACAAAGAGGTCAGACCCAAAGACGGCTGAAGTCTAGAAATACCATCTCAGGAACCACACCTCGTGCCTGCTCCATCTCCCAGTGCCCTGTGTTTCCCTGTCCCTCCACACCACCTGACGGGTCACCCCAGTCACAGAGCCTGTCATTTCCCAGATCCAACATTTTACAAATGAGGAAGCAGGGGCACAGAGAGGGGGTGGGATGTGAACCTGGGGGTGTGCATGGCAGGGTTTCCTGCTCCAGACCTGGAGCTGCACCCATCCCCGATGTCCCCTCTGCCTCCCGGGAGGAGTGCCGCCCTTTCTGCTTAGGACAGTGATCGTGATGCCACATGTCACCTTGCTGGTTCCTGTAGTCCTGATCCCCCTCAGGTGCCACAGCTGTGCAGAGGCCTGTCCCTGCCTGCCCCCAGCCCACCCTGGGTATACCTGTCAAAGCCAGCATGCTGGGGGGGTGATGTCCAAGCTGCTGTGGGTGTGGACAGGCAGGGGACAGGGTAACAGGTGTGGGGAGGAGCCTCCTTTATGCCCCTTCCTGGGCCCAGTGCTGCTGCTGTCTCCCTGGTGCCCTGGGTCTCCCTGGCTCCTGGCCCCGGGGCCTCTGGGCCAACCTGGCACCTGGGAGGTGCTCATCACAGCCCCCACCCACCGGCTCCGTGCCTACCTGGAAGGGCAGTGAAGTCTTCTGGGCCACGCCCACACTGGTGACCCGTGAGGATGTAGCTAGTTAGGGTGGGGGCAAGTGGCTGCAGAGCCCCTGTCCTCTGTGTGGGATGGAGCCCCCAGCCGCTGCCAGTCACGTGGCTCAGCATGTGACAGCCCTGCCCTGGCGCTCTCTGGAGCTCAGCCAGATCGAGCGGGTGCCAGGCAGGGCTGGGCGGGGGCTGAGCCTGTAGCTGTCAGCTGGGAGCAAGGCCCAGAGAGGGCAGCCACTGGTCTAAGGCCACACAGCAGATCAGAGACCCACCTTGGCAGGGACTGGCAAGTGGGAGGGGTGTTTCAGGATCCCAAGGGCCCCCTCCCTGGCCAGGGAGCTGTCAAGGCATTCCCTGAAACTCACAGGGTCTAAACTTGTCATAAATGCAACCTGGGAAGAGCCCCCAAAGAGGACTGTCCTAGCCTGCACCAGGAGTCAGGCTTCCCCGCCTGAGATGCCATGCACCTCCCAGCTGGGCTGGGCACTCCCCACTCTGGCTCAGGTGCCCCTCACTGTTCCTCAAAGATCCAGAGGCTCAGTGGGGTCTGGGAGTCCCGTCCTTGTTGAGGGAAGCCCAGGGTAAATGGGGAGCTCTCTGAGTAGGGCACCTGGAGGACTCACTCTTGGAGCCAGCTCTGGGGTGGGGGCTCTGCCGAGGCCCAGGCCAGCCAAGTGGGGAGGGTGGAGGGGAGCTCAGCGCTCCAGGCTCTGGGCCAGACAGCACCCAACCTGCCTGCCATGACTCCTTCTCCCTGGGCTGATGCTTCCCCTCTTTGGGCCTTGGTATTCCCGTGTGAGAATGGGGCTGACTATAGTTCTGGGGGTGTCTGTGGGTAAATGACAGGGTTGGGTGAGCACTTAGCTCAGCATCCGGCATGGAGGGCGTCAAGTGTGAGATCGAGGCTCAAATCCTGGTCCTGTCACTTACCCGTGTGACCTAGGTTAGTGCCTTAACCCCTGTGCCTCTGCCTTCCCATCCACAAATTGGGGATGTGTAAGAAGTATGTACCCAAGTGATTGTGAGGCCACAAGTCATTCCATGCACGTGGGCCCGGAACTGTGACCACTCCAAGTGCCTCTACCCCTCTGGAGGGGTCTCAGAGCTACCATCTAGACCCAGGACAGGAGTGTGGGCTGGGCACGAGCATAGTATCAGGTGGAATCATTCATTCATTCATTCATTCACTCCCTCATGCTAAATGCCAGGACAGGAGTGTGGGCTGGGCACGAGCATGGCATCAGGTGGAATCATTCATTCATTCATTCCCTCACTTCTCCAATACATACCCCTGAGCCTGGCTCACAGGGCCTCAGACCTGCCCGAGAGCATCTTGCTGCCTCACCTGCCCACGAGTGACCTTGAGCAAGTCACATCCCCTCACTGGGCCTCATTTTCTCCAGCTGTAAAATGGGGCTGACTCTGCCTGCCTCACAGAGCTGCTTCGAGGGTGAAGTGAGAGCTGGTCTGAAGGCACCAACAGGGCGCCTGGTGCTCAGCAGGCACTCAGAGCATGTGAACGTCCCCTTGCCCCTATCCCTGCCCTCCTGAGGAAGTAGCTGCCCCAGGCCTTGGCCCGAGGCCCTGGACCCACCCTGGCTCCTTGGAGAGGCAAAGTTAGAGGCTGCAGGATCACCGGACCCAGGACACAGCCAGAACTCACAGGCAACGGTGAATGCAGGTCACTCATTCATTTACGAACTCAACAAACCTTTACTGAGCACCTACTGTATGCAGACACTTCACACAATTTTCACAATTCCCAGGCATGATTGACCGTGCTTTCCAGCTGGGCCACACAGTGACAAGGACACGTGGGGATCCAAACGCGGCCTGGCCTGGCTCCCTGGCCCACGGTCCTTCTAAGGCGCCTGGAACCCACGCACAGGAATGGGCTGGGGTCTTCAGCTCTGGATGAGCCCCTTGCCCCCAACTTTCGGAAGCCTCAAGTCTCAGTGGAAAGCAGCAGCCACCTGGACATTTGCTGTACCAGGCACTGGCCAGAGCCCTTGGCGCACCCCAACCTGGGGACCTCCCAACATCCTGTGAGCCAGCCTCGCTGATTGTCAACCCCACTGGCTTTAATGTTTAATGTGCCGTGGACTCGCATCCATGCGGGGGAAGTGGTGTTCAGTGAATCGTGGGGGCTGCCCAGATGGCTACTGTGTCAGTGCAGTGCAGGTCACAATATTCCACGATGTTGTTTCAGGGAGTTCCAATTGAGAGCAGCATTTATTCTCTTCTGCTTGCTTTCCTGCAAGGAACATCGATGATTTTCAAAATGAAAGTAAAGTCTTATTATATGGAAAATTGGCAGACAGTGAGAGGGGATCTGGCTGCCCCTTCCTGGGGCTGTGGCTGTGCCCTCTGGCAGCCTGGATGGGTTGTCGGGAGTGCCGGCCGTGCTCAGATCTCTGTCCCGCAAGTCACACTGGTGCATTTATCTGGGCCATGTCAGCCTCTAGGTAGTCTCCAGGCTCCCCAAATGCAGCTCCATAAGCCACCTAAAAAACATCCTTTCTGGTGGGGCGCGGTGGCTCACGCCTGTAATCCCAACACTTTGGGAGGCTGAGGTGGGTGGATCATGAGGTCAGGAGTTCGAGACCAAGCCTGGCCAGCATGGTGAAACCCTGTCTCTACTAAAAATACAAAAAATTAGCAGGGTGTGATGGGCACACTCCTGTAATCCCAGCTACTTGGCAGGCTGAGGCAGGAGAATCGCCTGAACCCGGGAGGCGGAGGTTGTAGTGAGCTGAGATGGCGCCACTGCACTCCAGCCTGGGTGACATGGCGAGACTCTGTCTCAGAAAAGAAAAACCCAAAACAAGCAAACAAAAAACCCCACATCCTTTCTGGAGAGGGATGTATCAGTCAGGGTTTAATGCGCTAAAGGGCTGTGTGTGTGTGTGTGTGTGTGTGTGTGTGTGTGTGAAGGTCTCACTTTTTCACCCAGGCTGGAGTGCAGTGGTGCCATCTTGGCTCACTGCTGCCTCATCCTGCTGGGCTCAAGCAATTCTCCCACCTTAGACCCCTGAGTAGCTGGGGCTACAGGTATGCACCACCACACCAGGCTAATGCTTGAAATTTTTTGTAGAGATGGGGGTCCCACTATGTTGCTCAGGCTGGTCTTGAACTCCATAGCAACTGCCACCACCCCCAGGCCTAGAGGGACACAGGGAGGAAGAGCTGTCACCAGGCCCCAGATGATTGGGATCCCCCAGGGAAACCGAGAAGCTTGGGGGGGCCCACTCTTCGGGCACTGGGACCATACAGGAGTCTGGTCTCTGCCAAGAGTGCCTCCAGAGCCCCGGGCAGGCAGTGAGAGCGGAAGTCCCGGCGTCTCTCCGCCCACCTCAGCTTCTGCCTTCGATCCCCACTGGCCGAATCTAATCAGAAGCCAAAGGCAAGGAGTCCTGGTGCTCAGGTGTCTGAAAGCTCTCGTCTTCTGGGGCAGTCACATCCCAACTCCACGTCTGCACAGCTCCGGGGGTGCTTTTTTCTTGCTAAGCTGAGGCTGAAAGCGCTTGTGTTCCAAATTCATACGGTGCCACCACGTGGGACCTTAGAAAGACCCAAGCTGCTCCTTACTAAACGGGATGTTTGTGTTTGTATTCTTTGTCTTGGGTTTTAAAAAAAATCAAATGAATTTTTTTTTTTGAGACGGAGTTTCACTCATGTTACCCAGGCTGGAGTGCAATGGCGCGATCTCGGCTCACCGCAACCTCCGCCTCCTGGGTTCAGGCAATTCTCCTGCCTCAGCCTCCTGAGTAGCTGGGATTACAGGCGCGCACCACCATGCCCAGCTAATTTTTTGTATTTTTAGTAGAGACGGGGTTTCACCATGTTGACCAGGATGGTCTCGATCTCTTGACCTCGTGATCCACCCGCCTCGGCCTCCCAAAGTGCTGGGATTACAGGCTTGAGCCACCGCGCCCGGCCAAAATGAAATGAATTTTAATAAAACAATGTAAAATTAAAAGCTGCAAACAGGCTGGGCACCGTGGCTCACACCTGAAATCCCAGCACTTTGGGAGGCCGAGGTGGGTGGATCACTTGAGGCCAGGAGGTCGAGACCAGCCTGACCAACATAGCGAAACCCTCTCGTTACCAAAAGTAGAAAAATTAGTTGAATGTGTTGGCTTATACCTCTAATCCCAGCTACTTGGGAGGCTGAGGCAGGAGAATTGCTTGAACCTGGGAGGCAGAGGCTGCAATGAGCCAAGATAATGCCACTGTACTCCAGCCTGGGTGACGGAGAAACATTTGGTCTTAAAATAAAATAAAAGCTACAAACAGACCACAGAAGTAGTCCACAAGTAATAAGGTTTAAATTAAATAATTCTGGAACCTCAAACTATAGAGTAACCTCATTTCTAGGCATGGACCAGGAGCTCACAGTAATCCTGCAATATCTACGAAGGTCAGTATCCAAGAAGTAACTATGAGCCAGCTGTGGTGGCTCACTCCTGTAGTCCCAGTGCTTTGGGAGGCTGAGGCGGGAGGATCACTTGAGCCCAGGCATTTGAGACCAGCCTGAGCAACATAGTGAGGCCTGGTCTCTACAAAAACTACAAAATTAGCTGGATGCAGGGCTGAGCACCTGTAGTCCCAGCTACGTGGGAGGCTGGGAAGATCACTTGAGTCCAGGAGGTCCAGGATGCAGTATGTTGATCAACCACTGCACTCCAGCCTGGGTGGCAGGGTGACACCCTGTCTCAAAAAGAAAAAAGGTCAGGCATGGTGGCTCACGCCTGTAACCCCAGCACTCCGGAGGGCTGAGGCAGGTGGATCACCTGAGGTCAGGAGTTTGAGACCAGCCTGGGTCAACGTGGCGAAACCCTGGCTAAACTAAAAATACACAAATCAGCCCGGTGTGGGGGCGCACACCTGTAATCTCAGCTACTCAGGAGGCTGAGGCAGGAGAATTGCACTTTCTCATTTTGCTGTGTGATGACGCCGGCATCTGCTCTCTGAGAACAGCCCCACTGTAGTGCTTCTCTCCCGCCTCCTGCCTGCCCCTGCGCCTCCGGCCCTCTGCTGCTCCTTTCCTACCTCTCACTTCCAGCCACTCGCCTGCATCAATCCTGCTGTCTGTTCCCCACAGCTGCACCTGAGCATCATCGCCTGGAGAAATTTCTACCTCCTGGACGCCTGAAGCTGCTGCAGATTCACGCCACCCTCCCTGGGCCCTCCACTTTCCCAGCAATCCTTGGGGAGCGGGAGGTGTCACCCAGTCACTCACGCATCCGTCCAGTCACAGGTATTGATCACTCAGTCAGTGCCCAGCGCCATCCTCTGCATGTGGGAGGATGTGCCTGGAGAGCAGTGGGCAGAAGGGGGTGCACTGGGAGGGCACAGAAATCCAGAAGGGAAGTGGAGGGGCTGCATTCTCTGCAGGGACGGCCTCTTGTTTCTGAGAGCTGAGTGGGAAGGAAGGCACCTGGGAGGAGCAGGAAGAAGAGCATTCAAACCAGAAGGAACTGGGGGCGAGAGAATCGGAATATTTTCTGTATATTTTCAAAAGTGGCCTGGTGGTTCCAAGCAGGTGGACAGCCAACCAGTGCTTTAGAGTGTGGCCCCACCACGGGCTCCTGTGACAGCCCTGGATCCGGTGCCCAGTGGGACGGGGACAGGCACCTCTGGGCCCCACTGCAGGGCGGTGGCAGGGCTCCCCATGTAGTCCACCTCCCAAGACCCCACCCAAGCTCCCATTTGCACAGCCCAAACTGGAGCAGGATGGGGACATGGGAGGTAGGCTCTGGCTGTAGTGTCCTGCGTGGGAGGTGTGGTCCAACTGGTGACACTAGTGTCCCTGCAGGGCTCTTTGAGGAGCTGTAACAGCAGGCTTGGAGGTGGAGCTGGGATGACTCAGGAAACCCTGAAGGGAGCTTAAGATGGACCTGGCACTTTCTCAAGGCTTTGGAGTAACTCAATAATTCCGCCATGGCCCCAGGGATAGCGCCAAGTATTTCTGTTTTGCAATCGAGGAAAATGAGGCTCAAAGAAATGGAGTTAATTCCTAAAGTCACAGGGCCAGGAAGTGGCTGAGCAGGGATTCGAACTCGTACCTCACACCCAGGAGGGCACACACAGGCACGCCTCTGCACACACGCACACGCGCACACACATACACACACGCACGCGCGCGCGCGCTCACTCGCACACTTGTCCTGGAGGAGGCGGCCCGCGGGGCGGGACGGGGCGGGACAGGGCGGGGCGGGGGCAGGTCACGGCCCCCGGGAGGAAGTGGCCCGGCGGTCGTAGGGGCTCCGGGGCCACCTCCGTGAGTCCGTAGTCGCTCGGGCCATGGAGGCGGAGCCGCCGCTCTACCCGATGGCTGGAGCCTCGGCGTCTCAAGAAGACGAGGACCGGCTCGGGGTCCCAGATGGGCCCGAGGCCCCGGTGAGCCGGGACTCTGAGCGCGAGGGGACGGGGTCCCCGGCGGGCCAGGGTTTCCAGGGCGGGGGCGGGGGCGGGCCGGGGGGCGGCTGGCACCGGGGAGGCGCGGGTTCGGGGCGCGAGCGGGGGTGCGAGCGGCGTGCATGGCCCGCAGCTGGACGAGCTGGTGGGCGCGTACCCCAACTACAACGAGGAGGAGGAGGAGCGCCGCTACTACCGCCGCAAGCGCCTGGGCGTGCTCAAGAACGTGCTGGCGGCCAGCGCGGGGGGCATGCTCACCTACGGCGTCTACCTGGGTAGGTGCCCGCGGGGACCCGGGGCCGCCCCGCCCGCTCCCAGCCCGGCCGGAGAAACAGAAACCGCGGGCCGCCGCTTCCCGCGCGCTCTCACTTCCCCTCCGCCGCCCTCGCAGCGGCAGCGGCGGGCGCCCACGGCGGGGTGGGGTGGGGGTCGAGCGGCGCAGCGTCCCGGGTCCCAGCCAGAGCCTCGGTGTGTGTGGGGGGCGGGCTCCGGGACAGACCCGCCGCCTTCGGGACTGGAGGCCCGCGGAGCCCGGCGGGTCGGGGTGTGGGCTCCGTTACCCGAGGGGCTGGCAGAAGGCGAGGCGCGGCCCGGGACCCCCCGCTGTCCTGGGGGGCGCTGCCAGCGGGGATGCCTTTGGGGCTGGAGCTCCCCGCGAGGCCTGCGTGCCGGCTCCCGCTCGGCGGCGCCCAGAGCCAGGCTGCCCGCTCCACGCGCTCCGGGTCGCGTCCCCAGGCCTGCTGCAGATGCAGCTGATCCTGCACTACGACGAGACCTACCGCGAGGTGAAGTACGGCAACATGGGGCTGCCCGACATCGACAGCAAGATGCTCATGGGCATCAACGTGACGCCCATCGCCGCCCTGCTCTACACGCCGGTGCTCATCAGGTGGGCACCCCGATTCCGGAGGTGTGCGGAGGCCGGCGGGCCAGGAGGTGCCCAGCTGCCGGGGTGTTTGTGGTGGGAGGGGGCAGGCGAGAGGCTTTTTCTACCCAGAAGCCTGAGGGTGAAGGGGGTGAAACTTGGATTTGGGGAAGAAAACAGGAACTTTGCCTCTGGGCACATTTGGTTTCCAGCCACAGATTTTCATGGACTGAGCTCCCTCCCAGCTTGCCTGGGCCCCACGTGGCCAACCTCCTCGTGGTCCTTGGAAGCCTCTCAGAGCTACTGTGGCCCTCTGGGTTTTGGGGCTGTGGAGTTAGTGGTTTCTGATGGGTCAGCAAAGTCCAGGCACCCATGCCTGGCCCAGTGACTGTGACTGGTGCTGAGCGGGTGTTTCTCAGGGACAGAAGCCTGGCTGGAGCCCTGGAGGTATGTGGTCCAGCCTCCTGTCACCCGTCCACAGCGCCCTCCCTGATGGGACCTGAGGACCAGTGGACAAATGGTCTCAAAGGGCGAATTTGAGTTCCCTCATCTTAAAAAAACCCAAAAACTCCATTTTTAATAAATTTGAAGATTTAAAAAATCTCCAGTTGCGCAAGCAGGATTAAGGTATAGCTGGGCTGGCCGAGGTGGCTCATGCCTGTAATCCTAGCACTTTGGGGGGCCGAGGAGAGCGGATCATGAGGTCAGGAGTTCGAGACCGGCCTGACCAACATGGTGAAACCCCGCCTCTACTAAAAATTCAAAAAACTTAGCCAGGCGTGATTGCAGGTGCCTGTAATCCCAGCTACTCAGGGGGCTGAGTCAGGAGAATTGCTTGAACCCAGGAGGCAGAGATTACAGTGAGCTGCGATCATGCCACAGCCTGGGCAATAGAACTAGACTTGGTCTCAAAAAAAAAGAAAAAAAGGATAACAATAACTGAAATCAGACAAAAGAAACCCTGCCTAAGCCCTCCAGGAAATCGGCTACTCATGCTGTCCCACCAGCATGCATGGACTACATTCACATACTTGTCCCCAGAGCACATGTGTGTGCACGGACATGCCTGTGTGTGTGCATATATAAACAGGCAAGGTTCACTTTTGCTTACTTACTTTTTTTTTGAGGCAGTCTTGCTCTGTCACCCAGGCTACAGTGCAGTGGCTCGATCTTGGCTCACTGCAAGCTCTGCCTCCCAGCCTCAAGCGATTCTCCTGCCGAAGTCCCACGAGTAGCTCGGATTACAGGCGCCCACCCTGACACCTAGCTAATTTTTATACTTTTAGTAGAGACGGGGTTTCACCTTGTTGGCCAGGCTGGTCTTGAACTCTTGGCCTCAAGTGATCCCCTGCCTCGGCCTCCCAAAGTGCTGGGATTACAGGTGTGAGCCGCCGTGCCCAGTGCTTGCTACCTTCTTTCCACTGACCATGTCTTAGCCTCCTCTACAGCCTTCACAGTTAGGACTTTGCAATGGTAGCATCTTCTGCAGATGAGGAACCATGTGGCTCAGAACTGGACATTGCAACACCTTCTGTGCTTGCAGCTGTTTCCTTCTTTTTAAATTATGTGTTTATTTTATTATTATTTTTTTGAGACAGGGTCTCACTACGTCAGCCAGGTTAGAGTGCAGTGGCACGAACACAGCTCACTGGATCCTCAACCTTCACACACATCAGGCTCAAGCAGTCCTCCCACCTCAGCCTCCGAAGTAACTGTGCCTACAGGCACATGCCATCACACCTGGCTAATTTTTAAATGATTTGTAGCAATGGGGTGTTGCCGTATTGCTCAGGCTGGTCTCTAATTCACCCACCTCAGTCCCCCAAAGTGTTGAGATTACAGGTGTGAGCCACTGCGCCCAGCACTTCCCTCATTTTTTAAAGTTATTTTTCCTAGGATAATTTTTCAACAATGTCTTTACTAGGTCAAAGCCATACGAAAGCGTTTATGGCTTTTGAAACCTATCACTTTTACTAATAGCAGTGAACTCTTGTCTCCTGCGTGCTGGGCACTTCATAAGTGCAATTTCATTCTCAAGAATTTGAAGACGCTGCCCTTATCTTAGACATGAAGAAACCATGATGTTAAGCAACTCGCCTAGGTCCCACAGGCAGTAACTGGCAGGCTGGAGGTCTGAACCTGGCAGAGGGACTTAAGTCCACATGTTCACCCCGTGCCAGTGTGCGTGACCGCTAACTATATGCCAGTCATGCACACTGACCGTTATGCCAGTGTGCATGACTGCTGACTATATATGCCACTTTTTTTTTTTGAGATGCAGTCTCTGTCGCCCAGGCTGGAGTGCAGTGGTGTGATCTCGGCTCAATGTGACCTCTTACAACCTCTGTCTCCTCGGTTCGAGTGATTCTCCTGCCTCAGCCTCTTAAGTAGCTGGGCTTACAGGTGCGCACCACCACACCTGGCTAATTTGTGTATTTTTTTTTTTGAGATGGAGTCTCGCTCTGTTGCCCAGGCTGGAGTGCAGTGGCTTGATCTCAGCTCACTGCAATGGGTTCAAACAATTCTCCTGCCTCAGCCTCTGGAGTACCTGGGACTACAGGCGTGCGCCACCAGGCCCAGCTAATTTTTTGTATGTTTAGTAAAGATGGGGTATCATCATGCTGGCCAGGCTGGTCTCGATCTCCTGACCTCTTGATCTGCCTACCTCGGCCTCCCCAAGTGCTGGGATTACAGGTGTGCGCTACCGTGCCTGGCCCTGTATTTTTAATAGAGACAGGGTTTCATCATGTTGGTCACGCTGGTCTCAAACTTCTGACCTCAGGTGATCCACCCACTCCACCTCCCAAAGTGCTGGGATTGCAGGCATGAGCCGCTGTGCCCAGCCTCTTATGTGCCACTTTTAAATCACATCCTCACCAGTGGTGAATGCACAGTTTTACTTAAGGAACACAAATACAGAACACCCGAAGATACCAGGAGCGGTGTGTGGCCTAATCAGCCTCCATGGCCCGATTGGGCCCTCAGCCTGTCACTCACCAAGCCCCTTCTGTTGTCACTGTGTGACCCTTTCCCAGACCCAGAGAAGAGGAAACTTCCTGACTGACCTCTGTGGACCATAAGAGCGATGGTCTGGAGGCCAGGACGCCAGGACTGGGCTCTGCAGCTCCAGCAGTGGGGCCTCTTCCTCCCTCTTCTCCCTGCCTGAGTCAAGCCCCTGGGAGGTGTCCCTGGGCCCTGCAGCCACAGTACACAAGCTTGGGAGGAGAAGGGGGAATGGGAGAGTCAGAGATCCTAGAACACGAATGAGGGCTGGTTATTCCAATGGGCCGCTCTCCATCCTCACAGCGGTGATGAGAGGCCTGTGGTTTGGGGTCTGGGCCCATATCACAGCTGGGAAAACTGAGTACAGTAACTTGCCCGCGGCCACTCAGCAAGTCTGTATCTGAGATTCCATCTCAGGGCCCTCTACTCCCTCTACCTCACGTAGCCCTGTGAGCTGGGACCTGCAGTGGTGGCCCCGTTTGGCTTCAGGCCACACGTCTGGCAGGCCGTGGTGCTAGCATCTCTCCCACTGTCTGCAGGTTTTTTGGAACCAAGTGGATGATGTTCCTGGCTGTGGGCATCTACGCCCTCTTTGTCTCCACCAACTACTGGGAGCGCTACTACACGCTTGTGCCCTCGGCTGTGGCCCTGGGCATGGCCATCGTGCCTCTTTGGGCTTCCATGGGCAACTACATCACCAGGTGAGCCTTGTGGGCGGTGGAGTGGGAGGCTGGAGACCTGGCCAAACCTCCACTTTATTGCTGACTTTGGCTGGGGTACCACGGGCAAGCCCCTTCTGCCCTCTGGGCCTCAGTTTCCCTGTCTGTGAGACACTGGGGCTGGTCTGCCCCTAGCTCTGGGTGCAGGACACTCAGGAATGGCACAGGTTGGGCTAGGGAGAGCCTTCTCTCCTCTGTGGTCCAGGATGGCGCAGAAGTACCACGAGTACTCCCACTACAAGGAGCAGGATGGGCAGGAGCCGAGGCAGCGCCCTCCGCGGGGCTCCCACGCGCCCTATCTCCTGGTCTTCCAAGCCATCTTCTACAGCTTCTTCCATGTGAGTGCCCCGTGGGCATTGCCGGGTGGCAGGGGCAGGCCCACACAGTGGAGCCCACCCCACACTCTCAACCCTCTAGTCCCACTTTCCTCTCTTTTATTGTTGTTGTTATTATTTTGAGATAGAGTTAAGCACTGGAGTGCAATGGCGTGATCTCAGCTCACTGCAACCTCTCCTTCTCGGGTTCAAGCGATTCTCCTGCCTCAGCCTCCCGAATAGCTGGGGTAACAGGCATGAACCACCACGCCCAGCTAATTTTGTACTTTTAGTAGAGAGGGGGCTTCTCCATGTTGGTCAGGCTGTTCTCAAACTCCCGACCTCAGGTGCTCCTCCTGCCTTGGCCTCCCACAGTGCTGGGATTACAGGCGTGAGCCACCGCGCTGGGCTATTATTATTTTTAAGAGACTTGTTCTCACCAAGTTGCCCAGCTGGCTTTGAACTCCTGGGCTCCAGTGATCCTCCCACCTTGGCCTCCTAAGTAGCTGAGACTACATGCGCGCAACCCTGTATCTGCCCTTGATTTCTTTTTCTTTTTTTGTACGGAGGGGTGGACAGGGTCTTGCTCTGTTGCCCAGGCTGGAGTGCAGTCATGGCTCACTGCAACCTTGAACTCCCTGGTTCAAGTGATCCTCCTACCTCGGCCTTCTCAGTAGCTGGCATCACATGCATATGCTACCACACCCGGCTAATTTTTTATTTTTTGTAGAGATGGGGTCTTGCTATGTTTCCCAGGCTGCCCATCTGCCTTTCCTGAGCCCACTCCAGCTTGCTCATCCATGGAGACGAGACTTCATCCGTCTCTGTCCACATTGCTGGCCAGGAGGAGATCTTCCTCACTGGGCAGCCCGGTAACCAGGCTATTCCTGGAACTGGGAAGGCCCCTGTTCCCCAAAGTCTGCCCCTAGACCCCTCCCCAGACCATGCCTGTGTCCCCTGCCTGGCT